CCCCAGACGACGCGGCCTGGGGAGGACAAACGCGCCAAGCTCCAGAGATAAGGAGCCACCAAGAGGGCAACGAGACCGGAGCCAAACAACCTGAAGGACACGATGGATGAAGAGGATGGGCCTTCATCTCAGGACCCCTGAAGACCACCCAAAGCTGCTAACAGACGCGCGTGAAAGATATTTACATATGCTAAACAGTTCTTAGAAATACCATGAATATTTACATACGTGACTGTATTTAAGCTGAAGTAACAGGGTGCCTGGCACGCACGTTTGGAGGAGAAATCCCCCGTGTGCCCGGCGCCGCAATAAAGAATACCTGCTTAACAGAACAGTGTGCGTTGTGCTGTGAGGTTTTTCCTACTGGATCTTCAATCAGGAGCGATGAGCAGGCACCTGGTTGCTGCGAGCTGTCTCCTTCTTGGCTCAGACACGGGCCCTCCCGACCACGAGCCGGAGCCGGGAGCCTGAGCACGATGCTCTCCTCTCCCAAAGGGTGATGACAACCCACTCCATTCTCCACACCCATGGTTTTGTCAGCTTAGACTGAGAAACTTTCGGGAGAAGTGGTGTTTCCCAATGCTAGCAGCCCTCATACCCACGTCCAAGCACCCATGGGAGCGACCCTCCTCGGTGCAGAGCCATCTGCTCAGCTCCTGCAGCCACCGAGACCCACGGAACGCGACGTGGTGACCAACGAACCTCGCTGCCGCAGGGTCTCATCCAACCCTGCCCTGGCTCCATGCCTAGGGATCAAGGGAGGGTTGGGACTGCCACGCTCTGCCTTCTGCCCAGTTGCGCGTGATGCAACTTCTCCTCCTCCAACGGCCCCACCAGTGCCGAACTGAGCCCTGCAACTGCTCGCGCCCCGCTCCGAGCTCGCTGGAGCACTGACTGAAGATCCCAGGTGGTGACAACGACCTTACCCACTCAAGGAGAAGGTCCCACTCCAGGACAGCCCATCCCCTACGTGCCCCCACATCTCCAGCCCAGGCAGCTCTGCCCTGGCCCCTTCCGAGCCCTGCTCCACGCTGCTGGGGTTAGAGGGGCTTTCGGCGGCTGCTT